AAAACTAGTGATGTGTAAGAAATAGTTGACTTGCGATTGTTAAAGCATTTTTTTGAGCGTTCAAACCTTCATTTCCCGTTAGATCTTACGACTACAGCATAAATCACGACAGGGTAATTAGTAATTCTCCTGACCTCGCTTGGGTTCGATTTCCTAAATCCGGAAATCTTAACTAAATGCCTGGCGTGTATAACATGATTAACTGTCATTGCGAGATTCCCGATTCCGGCTTCCCACGCCTTGACAAAGAACCAAAGAAAAAATAGCTAAAATTGGTATACTTATTCAAAGCCTCATTGTCCTCTTCGATTTTTTTTTCCTATTAATAGAGAAGCATATGTAACCTCCATTAGTAGTTGAAGGAATTATTGGCCGTTCGACTGACCGGACGCAATTGATTCAGACAGCCATCCGTGGGCGAAAATATTGCGCCAGCTGCTTTCCTTTACCGCGCGTATCGCACGCATCGCGCGTATTCTCGCTACGTGGCTTCGCATCAAGTGAACGTTCTAAAGCAAATATAAATCAACAGGAGGGACGCGATTAATTGAAGTAACGAAATAACAAATGACCAGAAAAGGTTCGTTAAGCATAAAGTTAAAGCAGTAGTGATTTATTTAGGCGTCCATTGTAACGTATTTAATATCACATGTAAAAAAGCAAGCCGAGGCTATTAAAAATGAATTTAGTTTACATTAGCAGTGATATTAGCATAAAAGGTGGATAAGGAGGCTTATACTGTCTGTGAATACAGACAAGAAAGTTTGCCAGAGGGAAGTCTGCCGCACACTCAAGGTTGTTGAAAATAGTGTTCTTAAAATCTGACTGCTTCAGTCTCTCATTGTCGGTCTTAATGGGGTTCACAAACAGAAAAAAATGTAACCTTGGGCTGCAAAATGGCCAAAATTTTAACCATTAGCCGTAAAAGCCAACACCCCATTGAGACTCTCTTATATTCAGATTTTCACACGTGTTATACAAATGATTGAAGTGAGAAAAAGCGGGCGTGGCGTCGAAAACGCCATTAATTTGCCAGTGTTTTCAGAAAAGGTAGCGGAAAATCTCCAATATACTTTTTCCTTGATCAAAGTTCAAGATCTTGACTCTGTAGAGTAAGCACTCGCGGTTGAGAGAATTTCAACCAATTCTATAATCTCGCCGTTTCAAAGTTATGGTGCCGCTAAGTTCGTTGTTGAAATATCAGCTGCGACAAGGTACGGTTTATGGAAACGCCTTATTCGAAAAAAAAGAATAAACCATATTTTTTTTATGACAAAAATTTTCAATTTGTTCGCAGCTATTGTGCTGAATTTGAGAATAGGTCCTCGTATCGATGAAGAATGAGTGAATTCAAGGCACTATCAAACGAACACTCTCTTGATACTATTCATCATAATGTTACCAGACGCTAATTGAATGTTAGCTCCGTTTATCTCGCAAATGGCCCCGTGTGATTTTTAAAAATTTCGTACCTGCCAGACTTACTTAACAGCGCGTCCATATCCAAAAAAAAATCCTGAATTTGTGAAAAAAAAAATCATTCGAGTGTTATCTGATAACTTCCCTTAAAACGAGTTAATGGGATTTACCTTTAGGCAGCTGATATCTCGGCTAATAACGTCTGCGGCTGAGAGATTGTTTTCAAAATGAATATTTGGCGGAGAAGCAAAAAGTTTCGGAGGCAGATATGAAATTTTGAGGATAATCTCTCAGCCAAGGACACTATCTGCAGCATACCAGCAATTTATTCATTTTAACCTTCCCATTAATTTTCATCACGAAACTTTTGACAGTAAATTTTTGTGACTTTTTTGTACTTTTCGGAGCAGAATTTGAAACCAGCTTTTTATAGTCACTACCACTGGACTCTACCAAATGAGTTCGTTTTTCTCCCTGTTGAGTAATAAAGATGACAAAACTCTTAAGCTGGCTTTTCGCTTTTTTTCTTTTTTTTTTAATAGGTGGGTTATGACAGCCCATATATGCATGAGCATAGCGACTGCCATGCCGCGCCCTCTATTTCGAACGTATATATTTTCATCTGTACAAATTGTATATAAGGTAGACATACGCGACATAAACTCGACAGGTACATGTTACATTGTTTTATTTTCAGAAATTACCTTATTATAGAATTCTAGCGATGCACTTTATTAAAGCGATTTCAAAAAACCCACTAATTCAATGCATTTTAATTTACGTTGACATAAATTTAAATCTGACACCAACTAACATCACCTCTTACAGCACCTTTATTTAGATAGCGAAACTATATTTGCTCAAAGTCGAGAAAATGCAGAATCCAGGGGAGTGTTATATCCATTCATAGCGCATTGACATGATAACAAGGAGCTATCAATTACATAGTTGGTTGGAAAAGTTGCGTTTTTTTCTTTTAGATGTGTATGTCGAGACATTTGTATGGCAACAAATTCGAAAGTAAGGCGTACATCGTTTTTAAAAATTTCGCGTTATTTTATGTACATAAACTTAACTTTCTGCAAATGAGCGTTCACTCTGTGTAACGTAAACTTTCTTCGCGTTGTCAACGTACATCGTTAATTTCCTTTTTAAGTAATAGATAAGCTTTGTCTGTGATCTTTCCTGATGTAAAACACACAGGAAGCGGCTGGAGCACGAAAGAAGTGTAGGGAGAAACACGAGACGTAGTTGTGTGTTTCCCCACACTTAATGAATGAACGACAGCCCAATTTCCAGGAACGTGAAGATTGCACGGGATGACAGTGCCGTAAAACTCGGTTTCTATGACTGATGTGGTCTTCCACTCAACGCATCGAAAAAGTTATTAGAGCAAGTTCTTAGTTGTTCACTCGAAAGGCGGCCGATGCAACTTGTGAGGCTTGCTTCAATGCGACAACCGGAGATCCCCATGATGAGCTAGCCGCGATGAACCTCAGCATGATCGTAATCGTTCTGTCATTGTCACGATTTTTATGAATTTTAACAGCTATGCCAGTTTGGTTGTAATTTTCATCATTCCTGTCTTGATCTGTTTTGTTTTTGAACACGAAACTATATATACTATACGAGTGTTAGCTGTGTTTGATTTTTATTACCTTACGTAAGCTTACAATCTAACTAAGCTTAAAAAGCCTATTAACTCTGAGAGACCATTCCGTTTTCTCTTTAAGGATTTTCGTCTCTGCTCACGTTACAACAACGTCAATTAACAACGGCGCTTAACATGTTTACAAACCTTTGTTTGGTTCTTCTGTTGCTATATGTTGCTAATATGGTAACCCTGGGTGAACGTGCATTTCATGAGCTACCATTGCAATTACGCAATATTGGATCTGTAGAAATTTTTAAGAATTCAATTAAGACTTTTCTTTTCAGGCAATTTTTTCAATAGTGGTTAAGTTATGAATTGTATATAGCCAAGTTAACTGTAATATGCAATTACTTTGTGAATTAGTTGAGATTTTAATATTTAGAGACACTAATTGTAAAGCGCTATTGATCTGACATTGTAAATAGCGCTCTATAAGAAGTAAATTATTATTATATTATTATTTGCTACTTGCCGGCTCGCTTGTTACGAAATTTCACTTTCAATTAACGAAAAAAAGTTAGAGAGAAGTCTCGGAAAAGGTCACACATAGTACATTTTGGCAGATGGCGTGACAGCTTTTGCTCAGCTCCGTGTTCTGTACTCTGATGGAACACGCTCTTTCAACCAATGACAGAGCGTGTTATATCCGAACTTTAAGATAAAAGAAGGGATTACTTTTGTCTTTCTCTCTCAGTACGCAAGTGATGGCGTAAATCACTCTAGACTCTCTGTGGCCCAGTGCCACTGGGCCACAGAGAGTCTAGGGAAGAGCAGTATAGCTTCGACTTCTTGTGGAGGCTCAGAGTTTTTCTTTGTCTCAGTCTCGTAACAAGATCGAGTAAAGGCTTTCTCTAGATATGAATTTTCTTGGATGTATTTAATATGATAAATTATACGAAGGTTTTTACCATTTAGCCTTATTTATTTTTCCAGCATTAAGCGACTGTTAACATTACAATGAATACCTGAAAAACCCTTTGAGAGGGTAAAGGTTTCATATAATTATCGATTTTATTTTCATTGTCATAGCTGTTAAGATTATTACTATTATCAGCAGTTGAGAGTTAGCTGCTGTCCCAACCCATCAGCGACCACCATGTTAACTACTTATTTGGTGTAACCAACGGCTGACTGTCACATAATTTGCAAATGTTTTCTAATTAACGATGAGGAAATAATTTTTAACTTTGGTTTTTCGTTAGTTATTACTATTTTCTCTGAGTTAAAAGTTCTTTCTCTGAAGCAAGTCTGCTCCGTTTAAACAGTGCAGATACAATTCAACGGACTTGCTTCTGCAGCATGTGAACAATAACCTTTCCTGGCCTTTTAACATACAAGTTGTCCCAATGGTTTTAGTTCATTGTTTAAAGTTAGGTTATGAGATTTGACAAATCTACTAGCTGGAGAGAAAAAACCCTTACTAGAATACCAAATCTTCCTGGATAGAGCGCTTTTCGATTGAGCGTCACTAAACCAAAGACAAAGAAATCAAAACTGTGACAGCTAATCAGAATGAACCTAGGTACCCTTGAGAGCCTGTAAGAACTTAAAGTTAAGACAAGCGAGCTGTCTAAAGCGCGGGAAAGCACCGTTGACCAAGTTGCGATTATTTATGGTTTCGTATCTGATTGGTTGAGAAGGCGGCACGGGTTTTCTGGATCAGTCAAGGAGCTAAGTAAAGTAAGACCGATACAACGTCGGATTACTATCGACATTCAATTGAAAATTCCTCTGATTCATCTTGAATTTTCTGTAGCTCGTAGGGAGGGTTAACAGCTAAACGTTTAACTAGAGGGTTTACTATGCACAGTTTTTATTCTTCCACCATAATCTGCTCAAAGTTTGGACATGATTTTCAAGCGGAAAGGAAAGGTACAAACAAACTTAAAGGGTGCTTCAAGGAAAATGGTTCGCCCTCAACAATTGGCTGGACTAGAAATCGTATAAAGTCTTGATTCGATCTAATGAAAAATAATTATTAGATACGTAAGAAATCTAATTATGAAAGATTCATAAAATTTTATGGAAGAAAACTGAAATGAAAATACTTACAATTCAATTGGTAAATGATATGACTTAATTCTTTGGTGTTATTTAGCCGAATTGTTTTCCGATCAAAGAATAACCAGCGCGTGAGCAAACAATTTAACAGATAAGCAAAGAAAACGTGCTTATAAACCGCTTGTAAACTGGTCAAAAACTGTTTCATTTATAGATTAAAAGTTAATTTTCTGGCTAAAATGGCTACGCCTGAAACCGCTAATCACAAATCAGTTATTAATCAAATGTCAATCAACGCGTCTACTTGAACAGGAACAACTATTGTCATTGAGACGCGATATAAAAAAAAATTACATTTCCATGACAAGGGCCTTTGCCAACAATACTTTTATATTAAAATAGCAGTTGTTAGACTTGATATCAAGGGCTGACTTCACAGCTTCAACGACTGTTTTGTGCAATCTTACCCATGGGGAAGAGCTCAGTTGCTATGTCAGCCTTTCCTAACATTTAATTCATCCAAGTTTGTGAGACTATATTTAAAGCCGAAAAAATGGCCGGAAATTGGTCTCTACACACGCGATTTTTCTCTAGGGCTTCGTAGAGGTGAATGGTGCTCACTAATCACTTTCGAAATGGTAAGTTAGTGTGCGCGAAAAGCGCCGTTCAGATGCCAGGTAATCAGTTTTGAGGAAGGCGGGTGGCTCAGGCTTATCAAGTTTGAGGCAAAATACTTGACAGAGGTAATGCTTAAATATTCTGTCAGTTTTGTTGTTTTTTATCAAATCAAATGCAAGCCGAAGCTTATTTCTTACCATATGTCAGTGCGCTTTTCGATTGAGTGTCTAAAACCGTAGAAATCACAACAGCCAATAAAAACAATAGAAAAATTACAAGGAACCAATGAGAATTAAGAACAAGAAAAACAAACACAAGAAGACGTCTAAAGCGCGGGAAAACGCGGGTGACCAAGTCACAATTGGTTTTAGTCTTGTATCTGATTGGTTTTTGGGCCAAACACAGAGCAAAACGAAGCAAACCGAAGTTATCTCGGATTACATTTTACACTCAATTGAAGCCTGTTCTTATGCACCGTAAGCCATGCCTGACCCATAATATTAACCGTTGCCGTCTTTATAGGTTCTACAGGCTATAATTCTGATAAACGCTTTGTGGTAAAACTTACTCATCATTCCGTAACAGACCGGATGCATGGCACTAGGAAAGCATGTCAAAGCAAAGACACTCTTACTTACAATATAACGATATGGCCAGTTTATAAATGCGTTTACCCGGAACTCAAACAGAAGCCATTGAACTTGATAAGGAATGTAACAGATTACAAATATCAAAACAAGTGCAAATACCATTCGTAATAAATCATTCTCCAGTTCAAACGTTTTGTTGTTCACGGGTGGCACCTCGCTTAAATATGAAGCGTTTTCGTGTGATTCTTTCTTTTCCTTTTCTGGCTTTACGCCTAGATCTTTGGTGTCAACTTTGATGTTCATCAACTTGATTTCCTCTCGGTTTTCTGTCCCAGATTGACTAAGCAGGCTCAAGGCTCCTTGAGGATCCTCCGGGTACAAAGTGGACTGATTAGTAACTGAAGAAAAAGCTTTGTTCTGCTCATCCCGCAACCTTGCAATAACAACGATATGTTCCCGAATCTTTTTGCTGACCAAAGCATAGGACACCGCCATTATTGCTAGCGGCAGGGCGAAATTTAATATGAACACAACAATGGAATAAAGATCCTTAAAACGTTCGTAACCCGGGGGAGGTATTTCTTCACATAGACGATGTTCCTCGTACACTTGCACGACATGGAAAACTGACGTGGGAACAGACAGAAAAACGGACCCCACCCATGTGAAAATTATTATACAACGCATTTGCCGGCGGGTTGGTTTAGTGACGAGTGGCTTGACGAGGAGAAGACAGCGGTAAACAGCAAGAATGGCTAGGGTCGTTGTGATAACCAGCAGACTAGCCATTTGTGCCAGAGTCAGTATCTTGCACATTGCTAATCCGAGCTTCCAAGACCACGGGGGTTCGTCGGCATGAAATGTAAACATGAAACTAACGGTGCTGAGGATCTCGGCGAAAGCCAAGTTGCATACAAGGTAATGGGCGAAGGGTTTGTTGCCTGGTTGCCTCCAAACTGCTCGACACACCACATAATTTCCAACCAGAGCAAACGCCAGCAACAGGCTGACGACCACGGTACGGACAATTCGTAAAGGTTCGGGCTCAGGAAGAAGCGAAGAACCTGTAGCGGTTTGGTTGTCGTTTAGAGAAGTGGTTTGATTCATTGTACACCCGGAACAAGACATTTTCAACACTCGTAGGAGATCTTTCACTCGCTTAGATCTTCTTGAAAGTGCTTCCCTATTTGTGGCACTGAACTTTGAGAGAACATCATTGTGTGTTTTATAGAAGATCTGAAATGCAAATGAATCTGCATAAACAAATACGTCTATTGCATCATCTCGACAAGAGAATATCAGTTAATGATCTTTGAGTGAATAAAACCGGATACATTGATTTCAAAATTCTACCACGGCAACGATTAAAGAGTTTTTTACTTTCATTACCTTTAACGAATGGTCACATTGCAAAATGGAAGCACAATGAGGACAAAGTGGCTTGCAGTGATGCAGTGCTATTTCCTTTTTTTCAGCGTTGGCAATTTAACTCAAAACCCGGATTCTACCATGAAAACTATCAAAGACTTTTTTATTTTAATTTTCTTTAACGAATGGTCACATTGCAAAATTGAAATATAATGAGGACAAAGTGGTTTGCAGTGATCCGGTACTATCTCCTTTTTTCCGGCGTTGGAAATTTAAACCAAACCTGGATACTTGGTTCCATGATAATTTAGGTGTGGTCTTTTTTTTGTTTTCCGCTCGGGCCATTAAAAGCCATTTTGTCTTTGTCATTTTTCCAGCTAAGGAAAAATATCCGTTGACAAGGCTATGAATAAGTATCACCCATTAAGATATATCTCTTTGTTCTTAGACTTGATTTTTTTTTTTTTAGTATTTCCTCTTATATTCTGTCAAGATAGATTTTAACGACGAAAAAGCTATTTTCACCTCATGTCACCTTGCTCAATTTTCAAGCCATTGTCAACAAATTAAAGCTTCATTGGGCAATGCGAATGAATGAATGGCATTCATTAAAAACACGAGAAAGCATTCGCACTCTTCTTTAAGAAGAATCATATTGTTTTGAAATTGCTTTCCGGCCATTGCGGTTATAGAATATAATGATTGCGATATCGCGTAAAGAAAAAAAACCTACACATTCTCTTTCACTTTTTGATATTATTACAAGGTACAGGGGCTGAGATTACAGAATATGATATCAGGTCGTTTCTGTAACATCATTGGTAGAGTTTTGTATGAAACCTAAATCCTAGGTATTCAAAACGGAGGGAGATATGGGTTTTGGTATCACTTCCATCGAGAACCTTCGACCTTGCTGTCTTCCGCTCAACGCGAATCTTCTATTTCTGTTTTGATTTGTCTTACTTTGTTCCGCGATTTTTTTCTCAGTGTGTCTGCCCTGACTGCTTCACAACAGGCCGGTTATCCTAATATTAATCCTTGTGACACACAGCGGTTTAAGAATTATCATTTTTTGTTGTAACCTAAATCTTGACCTTACCGCACATTGTCATTTCACTTCTGAGCATCAATGAGGGTACGCAACGCTTTCATGAGTCGGTTCAACCGTTAGCAGCTTAAGGGGAAAATTATCCACAATTCTTGCTTTTATACAAGTTTTAGTATTTAGTAACGTGTTACAATCAGAGGAGGTCTTAGAATTTTCAACGGCACTATCCCTTTTTGGCAATGTTTACTTCCCACGATTTGAAAAGAACGGAAACTTTTGGTCGATGAAAAAAACCATGAAGATGAATGAGGAAGGCGGCAAACTGAGAGAGGAAGTTTATGAAAAAAACTTTTTCCAGGATCTAGGGAATTTTTTTTTTTCATTATGATTATACGTGTGAGACGTAAAGATGAGCTTTTAGCAAGATAGAAGACACGGACGAGTTGAAAGAATTTTACGATCATAAGATATGTCATTCGACTAACACCCTTGCTTCCCAGAATCTTCGAGAAGTTAGAGTTAGTCGTGACACGTCATAAAAATTGTGGGAAACTGAAAGGAAATTGTGAGGGTATTCAACTTGACATCTCTTATATCATGCTTAGTTACTTTTCCGCTAAGAGGTTTTTTTTCCGTTTTTCCAAACTTAATTTTCCAACTTCAAAATTGCTCCTCATTTTTTATATTCCAATAACTTGCATACAAATCAAAAGCCTCTATTTTAGCTTTCTACAAAGCTCTGTTTTTATAATTTTTTCTATCCACTAAGTCAGCGTTTCCAAATTCATCCTTCTCTGAAGGGCGGTTTGGAAAAGCTTCGTATTGGTGGAAAATTCATCCAGGCGGAAGTCACGATAGCAGAAACGGCGTTGCGTTTTTCAAAGTTAATTTAGCATGGCGTAGATAGCGTTTGAGTTTGGTATTGCAATTAAAGCGTCGTTCTAATGCGACCTGAAGCGCTTCCACTTTCGTCGACGAATTAGAACTATTGAAAAAAAAACGCCCTTTTCCAATCAATCACATTTCTGGTAGAATACTCTCCACTGAAGAGCTTTTGAAAAAAAAATGAAAACTAACTGATGCCCGTAGTGCGTATAATCAAGTTGTTCTCAATTGCCTACCGGTAGAGGTTTAAGGTGCTGTTCTCTTGTCGAAACTTGATAACAAGGGAAGTAAATCAAACCGCTTCATCTCTTAAAAATACATTGAATAAAGGGAAATTTTTTCCAAAGGGAACATAGAATGTTAGTGACACTAAAGTAGAATTTACTCTGCTAATCAATCATATTTCTGGTTGAATGCTCTCTACTGAAGAGCTTTTGGAAAAAATGCCAACTTACTTACGCCTGTAGTGTTTATAATCAAATTGTTCTTATTTGTCATACGGGTAGAAGTTTAAGGTGCTGCTCTCTCGTCGAAACTTGATAACAAGGCAAGTAAATCAAACTGCTTCATCTCTTAGAAATACATCGAATAAAGGGAAATTATATCCAAAGACTAACATTTCACAAGGAATGACCTAGTAATCTAAATATCATTCCATCCTCCTTCACCTTAAATGGCATCATGTTGCGCTTCCTTAGTCTTTTCCTTTTTGCAAGGAAAAAAAATTTGTTGAAAATGACCTCCTCCACTTGCTCGTTTTTCATGTAATTCTCAAGCCAAATAATTTTCGCTAAAATGTTTCCTCGATAGTTCCGCATCTTGGAGTCCCACTTAAATAACTATAAGCGTTTAATCAGTGGGGGAGGGGAAGGGCTTGGCAGAGGAAAGGTCGACAACAATTGGCTTTATTTGACCCGCGATACACTAAGAATAGCTCACCAAATTATGTGATTTCAATTCATCCCTTTATAACAAAACGACAAAAGATCGCAGCCTCAAAACACAAGAGCCTCAGTTTGAGGCCAACATTTATAGGACAACCGTGTTTTTCCCTTCGAGTGAGGGAAAAATTGCCGAGAGAAGATAAAGTGAAACGAATCTATCAAATTGTTGAAACTCGCCTTAAGCTACGTAATGTTATAAGTAGATAAAAAAGAGTAAAATTGCTATCTTAAGTATTCATAAAGTATACCCAAGAGTAAAGTTGTCTAGGATATAAAAACATTTACTGACCTGCTATGGGCTCGAGGGTAGAAACTGACAACCTTTCTATGACGCCACAAAAGAAAACCATTTTACTTGCTATATGCAGTTCATTGTAAGTGAAACATTAAATAGCAAACGTAACCAGAGAATTCGGCAAGTAGCAAAAGGCAATATCGCTTGTTACAAGATCCGTTTTCAACAATGATATTCAGACCGGACAAAGGGACGCTAGTCTTTCCGCCTTTTATCAACACTATCACGAAAAACGATCATTTTACAATTATAAAAGGTTATACGGAAATGCAAACCTGAAAATAATAGTTATGAGGGCGAACCGAAACCATTCTGGTCCAAATTTAAAATGCATGTCAAGCTTTGTTTATCATTTTGTGTCAAAGTTAGAGAGAAATTAACAAACAAAATATGGAAATTAATATCTAAACCTGTTTACTATGTTATGGCTTTTAAAGAAAACGTCAATTGTGAATGTCATAGTTTATGTGCACATCTGCCTAGTTCATTTACAGTCTCACAGCCACAAAAAAGACATTTCATTTCAATCCCGCTATAGTTGAATATTCAGTTAACGAGAACGTGCGCAGTAACTTAACGAACGCATCGCACTTCAAATCGCATCGGTAATAGCCTAATTGAGAGAGGACGTAGGTCAGTTTTAAAAGAAAGCAATTTTTTTAACCTAACAATACCGCCAAGTTGTGTTAACATTTACAATAGGAGTTAAGTGAAGAGTGGGTGGATTGAAGCAAGCGCATGATTACAAACTACTCAGTAAGCGGTGTGTTTAAGACTCTTTTAACTGCAGGCGAACTGCGTTCATTACGCGCCCTAAGTAAAAAAAAAAAATGGGTTGAGACATAAATCATCTTGCCCTACCACCAATGCTATAATGCTATAAAAGAGGAATTAAGAGTTAAATTGGAAACGCTGTTTAAATAAGATGTAATGGCTGAGTAGTTTTTTAGTTGCGGGAGTAATGCATAAGATTAGATATGCGACTTAAGTTTCGAAAATGATATTAAAACCGCAAATCTCCATTCTACCTTACTTTAAATTTTGCTTTGGTTCTTAATACATAGCGTTATACTACTTCAACGCTTTTTACGCAGCTAGCAAAGACCAGCAGAAGCAAGCATGATCATTTTTTTTTTCGATAAAACAATAGAGGGGTTGTTCTTGAACATGATGTGTTTGGGCTCGACTCGGAGTAAATTTTTTAGCCCGAGCCGCTAGGCGAGAGTTAAAATGATTCTGAAAAGTTATGCCCGCGACCATAAACTGTATTACCATTACAATTTGTAGGCATTGACAAAATAAAAATGACTGAGAAAATGATTGTCTGAACAACCACGCGAGGGTGCAAGTACAGTATTTTAGCCAGTCAAAAGTTCCATTTTAGCCCGCAAAATGCTCTGCAGTGCCCGAGAAAGTGAATATAACACATTATCTACAAACGCTGAGTGGCTTCTCTATTCTAAAAAAGAAAACGTGCCCTCAGATGACGGCTTCAATTTGGCGTTTAAACCCAAATGAAGAGCTTAGTGGATGTAGGAGCTTGCGTAGCTAGCTAAAAGTTGTGACGTTGAAAGGATGATTCATACGCTGTTAAAGCTTTCGTCAATCAACATCTTCGACAAGTTGTCGCCAGCTTAAAAATTGCTATTTCGTTTAGGGAAGTCATAGAGAGGAAGTTCTGATCGAGAGAGACCTCATAGCGCGCGAATGGTCTACTTTAAGTCTCAAGTGGGCGGATATGTAGTTACCACCACCTGTGTAATATTTATTTTGTTAGGAAAAGGGAAAATGGAATGGAAAATATTATCGACTCAAAAACGTCTTAAATTTTTCTCTCAGAATTTCTTGTTTTGTTTGTCGGCTCCGCAAGAGTAACGAATGGAGACGGAGAGACAGAGAGACGATTCCACAAATCAGGGCACGTTTGAGGAGCAAATCATCGCGGCGTTGCGTTAAGTTGAATTGCCTCCAACCAAGTGCTGTAAATGAGCATTTCTCACTGGTGACGTTAAAACATAGCCGAGTGGATGTCAAATTATGTTGCCCAACTCGATAAACTTAAGCATGGAGTCAAATGGAGTGGGCTGTTTATTTCTCTATTAATTCGTCTCTTCGTTCTCAGAGGTCACAGGTCTTAATATTCACCCCTTTAAAATCAGTCTTGCAGTCCTCCGCGAAACTAAACATTAATAGAATCAGTTGGTATTTGTTGTTATCGTCGTCTTTCTTCTTGCTAATGTATAAACATCGTAAAGAGAAATAACTCGCTTTCGGGATTGCACAGATAAAGCTTTCCTTTTGTAATGATGTAACTATTACCCAAGGGAAACTATCGGGAGCTTCCTTCGTTGACGCAAGTGCACGTGACTTAAGTTTGTGAGACTATTTGTAGTTCGTGCATTGAGCGGGCTATGTGTTTTTTAGACAACTGCTCATTTCAGATAAATTGCAAAGACAAAAATAAATTGCGTGGCTCGGAAGGCGAGGGTAAGTCTAGAGTAATTTGCAGTCTTTAGAAGTTTTTGAGTTATCATCTCATCCACGCTCCCCAAATAATAAATTGATAACGTGTCAGAAAAATAAACTTTATTTCAACTACCTGCCCTCAATATCAACTTTCCGTACTGTTTGAATTAAGTCGAAGCGCGCTCAGCCAATGAGTGGGCCGAAATTTGTGCATGTTGTGATAACGTTGAATTTCAAAATAGCTGCTTTGTTCCTAAGTTCAGCCTGCAGCAATGGAAATTCTCTGCTTGAATTGTCCTTCATAGCAACTAATTTTTCATACGGTTTGTTATTGTACTTTTTAATCGAGTTGAAGCTTCTAAAACCATGTCAATAATAAGAAGAATATAACATTTCGATTAAACGCAAGTCTTTCTTCCCAACTGACGCACCTGTCGAGAAGGGAAGCTGTGAGCAACGACTATAAACGGAAAAATAAACATTTAAATTACGTTGCTTTCCAATTAAAAACACAAGGTAAAACTTGGCTTTAAGGGCTATTTTTTTCATGTCGATCAAAGAATCATAATCTCCAAAAGTTTTTCGCAATGATTTACTTTTGTGAGCGAGTTCCATTTCATTCTGTTAAAATGATAGTGAATGCAACCTTGCCGAGTAGCGTTAGCACATCAAACGCGCCAGAAAATGCAATTTATAGTAGCGCACTTGGAACCCTTTGGGTTGAGAACTTTTCGTTTATCAATCTTTTCGTTAGTGATTTTCACAAGCCTCGTGGGTAACCTTATCATTAGTGAAGCAGTGTGGAAAATTCGTAGTCGCAAGCCTTCCTCTTAATTACTATTTGGTGGCCAATTTAGCTGCAGCTGAACTGATCAACTCGCTGTGTCAAGCGTTCATCTTAGTTTACTTGGAGAAAGAAAGTTGGATTTTTGGCGAAGCGATGTGCATCTTTGATGAACCCTCTTCTGGTGCTAAGCATGTTTGTGATTACAAATTCCTTGGCCATAATCGCCTCATATCGCCACAGAGTCACGTTCAGCAGAAGAAGACCAAAAGCTTTGGTAATCGCAGGCATTATCAACGGAATACGGATCATGGACTTGGCAATTACGCTGCCTCATTTTATCACCCGCAAACTCGTTAAAATATTTGAAAATCAGTTCAGTTGCTCGTCACATTTTCCTGGGGACTCTTCCGCAAATTGTAACAAGTACTCATTTGTTCGCCTCGTGTTCACGTTTGCTGTTCCCTATTTCGTTATACCATCAAGTTGAAGTTACACGTTCAAAGAATTGACAAAGAAGTCGACGATAAAAGTAATGTAGGTTTTTCAGTTTTTATAGCGTTAAATGGCACAGTAAAGCCTTACGGAGTATATAGACTTGGTAAACGGATTGATAACAACACGGCTGAGCCAGAAGAAAGGAAAAAAAACTTACAAAACCGACGGAGAAATGGTAAGATGGTCATCGATACAGCTGAAAATCATTTAATGAAAATGGTTTTGTACTAAAATGTTTACCTAGCGCTTTGCATCCGATATGCTGGTATGCAACTATTAACGGCATAGCGTTCCCTTGGTTTGTGAGATTTCCATTTCTTCTGGTTCGTTTGAGGAATGTTGTTCTGCCCTCTGCACCAGCGATTGAAAATTAGGGAGTTAGAGCAGTTTAGCCAATCGTGGATTAATTCTATTTCTCTAACTTTCGCGATTTAGATCGTGTGTTTACCTCCGGCGGCACCCTCTCAACATAACATGTAAAGGAAGCGCTGAGTTCGTGATACTGGAGAGTTTAAGAAACGAGGATGGCGACGCCGTGGCCAACGTCGGTTAAAAGATGAACTTATATTTTACCTATGAGTCTCGCGATAATCTAAAGTCATTAAGTTTGTTTCTCCCTGTCAAAACTATCTCGAAACTGAAAATGGAACACAGCGTTAAATTAGAGATAGAAATTTAAAAAAATTAGCTATCGCCGTTCACGTTCTCCAGACGACGCGAAGTTTGGTCATTTCAAGTTGTTATTTTGCAGAGGACGCAAAGAAATTTACAAATATTTATAACGCACGTGCATAACCATTATTCTGTTCATTAAACCTTTTGTTTATCGACATTCCCGTTGCCATTGCCGTCGTGGTTTTCTTAAACTCCCTCTACAAACGGAAATTGTTTGCCATCAAGCCGGCTCCGGCTCTCAGACTGTGTGGAGTTTGATGATTAATACACGTTTTTTTCTGTCGAGGACGATTGGAATTTCAAATAGTTTTAAAAATCACGTGCAGAGTTATTATTGTGCTTGTTAAACCTTTTTATTCCGCCACTTTCACGTTGTCATCATCCATGACGCGTTTTTTTTTCTTAATCGACTTCTGAACAACGTGAAATTATTAAATTTTCCGTCGCTTCAGAAGAGAGCATCCCACGGCTGAAAAAAACTTTCATTTTGAACTCAATGCTGCTTCTGCATAATCGCTGAAAGGAACGTCTGGAGTCGTCAGAAATGGTAAGCACATGTACGATTCGCAAAACTTTGAGGGAAAGGTAGGTTTGTTTTCAATCGCGTTTTTGAAAAGCGTCGCCGCTGTGACTGCTCCTAGTAGCAGGTGCAAATGAGCCCCTAAATTTCTCGTGGAAGATGGAGCCACGGTGGCAGCCGTTGAAATC